GAAAGAGCAACAGACTTGACAAAACCAGTGTTAACTCCACAGGAACGAACTGCAGGGAAGAGAAGGCAAACCACAGTCCCTCTTCTCATTGTAGCTTTTGCCTCTTGAAAAAAAGTTAAATACATTTGCCAAACCACTGTGCAATAGAATGCTGGTATGGGACCAGATCAGTGGCAGCACTGAAAAATAAGTCTCCACTGACCCATTGTGGCAGCTGGACTCCCTCCGTTAGGGAGTCTTGAGCAGTGCGTGGCTAGAAGGCTGCTGGGATCATGTCAAGGGTTCTGCAGAAGGTGAGGCTGGAGGAGAGGCATACCTGAGGCACCACAGCACATGGTGATAAGATGGCTCAAACTGAAAGGCCTGTGCGAAACCAGAGTATTGTTTCGGTATAGCATTTGTTGTTGTGCTTTTATTTTTTGGGGGAGGGGGGTTGTTTTCCATAAAAAGAAGATACATCCTTGCACTTGATTCCTGTGCTCTGTTTAGTTTTTGCTGCAAAGCATGGAGGGTGGCTGGGGCAGCAATGTGACAAGAAAGTCTCCTGCATGGGGAAAAGACCCTTGTGCTTTCACCAGGTGGTTCCAGCACTGACTCCCACACACTGCAGGGGAAGCAGTGCAAGACGTCCAGGAACAAAAATAATTGCATTCATTTGGCTGCATTGTGTTCCCTTGTGATAGATACCTGCTACCAACTAGAGCAGAGATCCCGAGTCAGACTCTGAAATGCTTGTGTTGGAGTTCAGAAGCTATGTAATGCTTAGCAGCTACCTTATAGCTGATAGGAGGAGGGAGGGCCAGAACCAGTCTGGTCCTGTGTAGTGCTCTCTGTCACTGGAGCTGTCTATCCTCCTGCCCTCAGGAGGTGCTGCACTCAGGTATGACATAGTCTGAACAGAGTGCTAAGGAGCCAGATTTCATCTGCTCACACATCGCTACAGAGCTTACTGCTGCTTATGTCCTTGGCCTTTATTGGGAGTTTACAGTACCATTGTTCCTTGGCAGAGTTCTCATTCTCTGTTATGTGAAGAGCATGTGCAATTTACTGTTTGAAGATACCTTTGGTATCCTCCAAAGGCCGTTTTTGCTGTTAACATTCAACAGCGTGAAGGGTGATGGCCTGGAGAGGAGGTGGAACATTATTTCGATGCTGGAATGCCAGCTAGTGATCTTGCATTTGGAGAGATGGGCACCAGGCCAGGTGGACCTCTGTAGCTGGCAGCTTCCACTGCTGCCCAGCCACACCTGGAGCATCATGGCTCTACTCCTCTTCAAGGTCTCAAACTGGTGGCTGGAAATCCAGATTGCTTGCCTAACTCTATGGCTATTCTTCACTGGTGGCATTACACCTCGCAACGTGACTTGATGTCTAAGGTTTTTGCCATCTTTGTGCCTGGAGATGTTGGATGCGGTTTGCAGTGGTTTTCTCTGCTGCATGTAGCCCAAGGAAGACTACAGTTAAGGCTAAGATGAGGTCAGACTTAGGCAAAAAGCTCATTAAAGCAGGGAGGAGGTCTAGCTGAACACAACCAGGCCTGCGGTGTGAAATTTCCAGATCACTGGATACATTGGTGCCTTGAAAGCACAGCATCATTGAGACTGGAAGGGGCCTCAGTCTGGTCCATCTCTTCCATCCCCACTCTGCTCAAAGCAGGGTAAGCCAGGGTGGGGCATGCAGGGCCGTGTCCAGTTTGGAGCATCTCCAAGCATGGAGGCTCCACAACCTCTCTGGGGCACAAACAAGTCACCAGCAGGCTGAGCTAGGGCCTCCAGTCCCACCCAGGTCCCTAGGGCCTCCAGCCCATGGGCCTAGGAGGCCAACTGAGGCATTGGTAGAGGCCTCCAGGCCCTGCCTGAGCTCTGTCATGCTGTCCCTGTCTCCAGCTGTCTCAGCTGTGCCTGGCCATGGACCTCCTTGCTCTAGACCCCAGCCTGCAGGCTGCCTTCCTGGCCTGCCCTTGGCTTCTCTGTGGCCCTGTCTGGCTATCCCTGGCCTGCATCTGACCCTGCTTGCCGCCACTGGGCCTGAACCCTAGCCTGGCCTGGCTTGTCTTCCTGGCTTGCCCTCAGAGCTGCTGCCTCACGAGGCCCTTGTTCATCCCTCTGGGCTCTCAGCTGCCCTGGGACCACCCTGCTCCCCTCACTCATGTAGGCCAAAGCTGGGCCCTGCCCTGCTTTGCCAGGGGACCCCTTCAGCTCCCTGACCCTGAGGGAGCAGTGTGCCTGCGCTGCTCCCTGACACCGGTCTCTCACCACCCTTGCAAGAGAAAAGGTTTTTTCTTCGGGTGAAGTGGGATTGCCTCTGTGGCAGCTTGTGCTCTCTTCTTCACAACTTTCACCTCAGTGGGCTACAAATCCCCATGGCATCTGCAAAGGCTTCCATAGCTACTAGAAGCTTGCCCACCACTTTCTGCCCACACTGCCAGGAGGTTTGCTCTAAAAGGCAGGAAGAATCTGGTAACTGATTATTAGCAGTAGCTCAGCGCTAGTCCCCCATCTGTGCACAATCATGGTTCAAGCCTCCCCAGAGGAAAAGGACACCGATGCGTGCTCCCTCTTGGAGACATCTGCAGGATGGATTTTTGTTCAGAGCAAGGGCAGAGAGAGATGTGCTAACTGCCTGCATAGGAAAGAGCCAGACTAAGCCTTCAAAAATAGGATTCTCTCCATCCAAATCTGCGAGGTCCAAAGCTTTCCACTTGTGCAGCAAAACTAAGGCGTGTACTAGATGACGCAGTTTATTAAACTTGACTTCTGAGGTTAAGCCCTGGTTCTGCTCCAGTTCTTCCTTAGTCCAATGCAAAGCAGACAGCTTTTTTTGCACGTCCTTGTTTTGTCTTAGCCGCTTCATGTGCTTTTTCAGCTGCATCTCCCCAGCTGTTGGGAAATGTCAGCAACTTGTAGGCAGCAAAACAAAAGGAACTTAAAGAGAGAGCTCCTTCTTCTGTGGAAATTTGTAAGGTGGGGGGCCATCGAGACTGCATTCCTAACCTGCTGACAAGAGTATTAAAATGTGTTAAAATCTTGATGACTGGTGACCAGCTTGGCTCTTCTCTCTCACTTGAGGCCCCTGGGACTGCTTGCTGGTTGGCAAGGCCATTGACTGGGGACTCTGCAGGACATCCCTGCTGGGACTCCTGGCTCATGGGTTTTCCCATCATGATAACTACATCCATGTTCATCAACATCATTGTCATCTACTGCTACAACAGCAGCAGGAGCATCAAGAGAAGTCAATCACTTGCAGAATACAGCCAACAGGTAATTAGCAATACAGAAAAAAAAGTATAGGAAAGGAACAGTACGGGTTCCAGCAGAAACAAATAATCACCTGAAATCCACTAAACCAACCAGAGCTCACCTTTGTTCTTAGTTTATCAACTTCATTGGCCACCTCGGAGCAGCTGTTCACGTCTTCCCTGGAAACTGAGCTGGGACTTTCTTCCCCTCATACACCATCAGCTTTCTCCAAGTTTCCTCCAGAAGCATCTTCAACCTGCACAGCAAAATAGTAAGGAAAGCGTAAAGCAAAGCAACAGTTGGCCTTTTTGATGCACTCTTATGTAAGCAGTACAGCCATGGCTTGCTTCATCTGTAAGGTGCTTGACAGGCCAGGAGTTACTGAGAACAGCTAGCCCTCCAGCACCACACGTGACTTGGAGGGCCCAAAGTTTACCTGAACAGAGGAACACAAGACTTCCTTCCCTCCCAGGAGAACTGCAGGCAGCCTGCATTTGCAAGGCCTTTTGCAGCTTTTTAAAATCATAGGCTGATGCACAGAAGCACCTTGCAAGATTGAATGTGAGGCCTGAATTTGCTCACAAACGGTTATGTACGTGCTTTTACGTTAGAGTTAAGATCAACTTCTACTCAATGTGATATTTCTCTAAAGCACTCAAAAGCCATGCCTGGTATGTTCTGCCTCCAGTGCAATGTTTCTTTGCCGCATTTCACCCAGAAGCCCTTCTGATTGGCATTTCATCTCGCCCAGCTTCTCCACTTCCTTGATTTCACTCCCAGGCTTTAAAAATAGGAAAGATACATCACATACACAGAGCACAGGAACAGGATCCACATGCAGAACGTGCAGAGAGTGTTCTCCGCAAAGAAGGTTACATGGATCTCCCAAGTCCAGTCTCCTCTCGCAGCTCTCAACTACAGCTCTCTCTCCTGTGCACAGCACACAGCCCACCCATCAGAGGAATCGTGCTGATGAACGCAAGTGCCTGCGTATTGTCCACCAAGCAGATTCAACAGGCAGTACCACCAGGGGAACGAGGAAACCTATAGACAGTTCCCCTGAGGGTGCCCTGGCCCAAAAACCTGAGGTGTTCCTCACAGCCCACATCATCTTTTCATAAATTACCTGCCCATGAGAAATTCAAAGACTAACACCAGTCATTACCAGAAGTTGTTCATATACCTGCCAATGTTGGTGTTCCTTCGCAGTCCATGTTGTCTGAAAGCCGGTCAGTAAGGCCTCCGGGCCATTATGAGCCTACAGCAGCATTAAAAGAAGAAAAAAGAAGTCACACTAGGACTTACCTGACTGAAGGTCACACCTCACAGCAATGCTGCCCAAGCACACAAGGTACTGCCTATGGAGGTGTTGTTCCCTTATTAGTTGTGGATTTTCATCTTTGGAGGTCTTCTCATTGCATTATGGACCTACACCTTCTGGCTAAGGATTCCATAGTCACTAAAATGGGAAGGTGACCAGAGTACAGGCAGCTGAAGAATTCCTGTCAGTCTGATGATACCAGTCAGGCCTCCAGGATGAAGCGCTTGGCACCACCAGAGCCAAAGGCAAGTCCAGAACCAAAGGTACCTAATCCCTCTACTGCATGACTGTCTGAAGTGCTGCCTGAGGTCTCAACCTCACGCCCAGTCTAAAGTAGAAAACACTTAAGCCAGTGCATTGCTGTTAACTCCTTAACAAAGATGGCGTTATGCAGGGCTTGCTATAGTCTCATGGGACAACT